CTCACTTTCTCTCCTGCCTCCCCATTTCAACCCCTCCCTCCGTTTCCCAGCGCTGTTTGTCTATGGAAGAACACAAAGTGCCCATTCATGAGCGCGTCTCCCCGGGGAGCGCGCCCCTGCGCACGCGTGACCTGGAGCTCTGACCCGCGAGGGGTATGAAAATGAGCCCGTTACGGTAAACACCGACGTGGCAGACAAACAGCCGAGCAGCGTTTTTCGTTGCAAATTAGATAAGATCCTTAAATTTATATGGGGTGGGGATGGTGGGTTAAATCATCACATAATTTGTATTCAGGTAACATTTTCAGCAGCTAAAACAATAAGAATATAAATATATAGATGTAATGGTATGAATATAGGCTATAAAAACCAACATACAAATAAAATGGAAACGTCAAAAAGCAATAATAATAATATAAAAATAATAACAACGCCAATTTTGAGTTTGCTATTCCAATAGGCTGACATTACAAATCGTTTAGCAAGTGAGGGGGATAAAACAATGACAAAATAATAGGTAAGCGTAAGCATAATGAAAATAATCTAACAGAAATATACACCCATTTCTGTCTTAACTAGAACTGCAAGAAGGCCGAAAAGAAAATAGAGATTTATTTCAAAAGTCATTGTCCAAATGTTCCAAAACGCTCTGATTTCGCATGAAAATAAGACTCGCTAAAAAACAGGTAATATGCACACAAACGTCACAACCCACAGTGATAAGAACAATAAAAACACAGTATATGCTAATAAAACCCATGGTATAAGATTTCTACAGGAAAAACACACCAGTGCAGAAGGTTAATAAGACCACGCAAAAAAGGCATACCAACAGCTTCATTTTCACTTCCGTCCGTCCTCAGTTCGAAATAGCTGCACTTGAGTGTTTGCCCATCTTATGAGGAGGAGAAATACACGACAACGTCATTTAGAAGTTACCCCCACAGCACCTCTGCTTACAGGCCACCGGATAGGCTACAGAAGAAGACTCCTGGTTTCACATCTGGATGAGTCTGTAGTTACAGACATATTCCACAAGATGTCGCCTTTACTTTTAGAATTTGTGCAACGCATTTTATGGATGACAGTTTTGTGAACCTAGAAGAGTAGACTACAAGGCTGGCCGTGCAAAGGCTATTTCTAACAAAAAAATGGGTAAATTCCGACTTTGCTATGACAATCTGGCACTTATTCTGAATCTCTACAATAATGTACAGTATTTGAAAAATAATGTGTTTTTTGAACATTAAAGCAGGTCAACATATTCTGTTACATCAAATACACCAAATAATTATCTTTAAAATAGCATCATATGACCCCTTTAAACGTCAAAGTCTAGGCCTATTGATTGTTTTCACGTCACGTCACACCCTTGTAGGAACGCCCACCTGGAGGGCAAAACGAAACTTTGCTCCACTGACCGACAGTTATTTTTACGCAGTTTGCATTAAGTAGTAATGTAGTAAAACGCAGATATTAAAAGGCGAAATTCAGTAAACACCTTATTGATTATGTATATTTTGTACAGGCAAGCAAATGAAGCCAGAATATAAAATATGTGAAAAGTTTCACGTTAAATGGTTTCCCATAGAAAACCATTAGAAGGAAAACACTGAACCATTAAGCGGATTGCGTTCATATTCCGGCCTCATCTGCTTGCCTATGCATCATTAATATAGAGAATATTACTGTTTTAAATATATTAAGGCACTTTAAGTGTATTTACAACGTTTTGTCGCACTGTTTAATGATTGAAATATTGCCGCGGTTGCTTAATATGGATTGCAAATGGCCAAAACTTGCATTTTGTTTACATACCTTTGTTTTATTCTTTTGAGAGGTGATCTAAATTTTGCGGCTGTGAAACAGATGTCAAATTGACAGGCTTGTCCTGCAGTTCTATGTTTTGCCCTCCAGGTCTTCGAGCCGGTCACCTGACTGAAAGCTATGAATAACCCTAGGCTTGTTTGAGATGCGCCTCGCCTCGCCTGAAATGTAGGCGAGAATAGGCGGCTGCAGTGAGGGGAGGAATGAAACAAGCGCAGGCAAGACAGACAGAAGTGGAGCTGATACCTACAAGATCAAAGGCGGATATCGCGTTATTCTCACTGGTGTGCTGTGCTGCTGATAAACATGATATAGCCTAATTTCAGTTCTGTTGCTTTTATATTAAAATAGATATGATAAACAAAAGACACCCAAAGTGCTTGCTATTTAATTCCACACGAAAGGCGTATTTATCATCTATTTTTACATTAATACAAACATGTATTTTAGATTTCATTAAGCTGTGACGTCAGTCAGTCGTTTCCCATCATGCTTTTGATCAGCGCAGTCGGTGGAGAGCAACTGCGCTCGACTGCATAATCCGACAGCCGCCAGCCGCCTCACCGGTGATCACAGCGAGATGCATGCCGGTTAGAAAAGTGTCCGAGTTAGGTCCGACTTGCTCTGATCTCATGCTGACGTGTGCAAAAAAACTCTACATATAAAAGCAACAGAACTGAAATTATATCATGTTTATTAGCAACACAGCATGTAAGTGTGAATAACGCGATATTCGCCTTTGATCTCGTAGGTATCTGCTCCACTTTGAGAGGTCAGAACTGTCCGTCTTGAGGAGAAGGGTCTGGCTGCAGCCTCACACTTGCACTCTCAGACTTGCATTCTCAGACTTGCATTCTCAGTGAGAGATTCAAACAAAAAGTAATCAACAAATAGAACAAAATAAAAAATAATAAAGACTGCAAGTGACGTCGCTAGCGGAAGTGCAAGTGTCTGAGAGTGCAAGTCTGAGAGTGCAAGTGCAAGGCTGCAGCTAGACCCTCTTGGTCTTGACTGCGCTTATTTCACTCCCCTCACTTATTTCACTCCTACTCTCACCTACATTTCAGGTGAGGCGAGGGCGAGGCGCATCTCAAACAAGCCTAATGGTTAAAACCTGATCGCTGTTGGTTTGTGGTTGCCAGAAATGTATTGGAAAAAAAAAATGCATCAGTGTTTCAGGCATTATGGAATGGCATTTTGTTGTCTGTGTATTTCAGTAACTAAAATAGTAACTAATGTTAGGCCTATAGGCTACCCGAACTACAATAATCTGCTTTGCACCTGACAAGCACCCATACAGTAGATGGCTACATAATAACTTGTCATTAGAAAGGGCCTTTCAATTATTATTATTATTATTATTATTATTATTATTATTATTATTATTATTGTTGTTGTTTTAAACATTAATTGACAGTGCACAGATACCCACGCAAAACACCTGACAAAAGCAAAGAAAGAATAGACTAATAGACTGTAATGCAATAAGCATTAGCATACCTGACAACATAAATCGTAACATTAACACCTCTATAACAAAAACAATAAGAAATATAACAAATTAAATATTTGGGGTAAAAAGAACCTCTGCTGTCTGGGCTAAAGGCACAATAATTAACATGAAAATGAATGGCTGACTTTTCCAGTTAACTTGACATGGTTAGATTCAGATAGCCTATAGTAAATATCATGTTGGGTGTCCACCAGAGATAATCACCATATTTATAATGAAACCATTATATTTAAAAATATTACATTAATAATTTCATATAATAAAAAACATAGGCTATTTATTGTTATTACTGTAAAGCTATATGAAATTATTACGGGATCTCTTTCAATGCTTTCAGAATCTTTACCTTTTTCGAATAATTTTGTTTCTGTATTTTAAAAATGAACATATTTTAATGACAGTATTGAACAAACATAAATTATTTTATTTATCAAAATAAGCACTTTGCTAAAGTGATTGATTTGAACAAGAATTCACTTAGATATTATTCACAACATACTTATTTAAAGTATTTGTATAAATACTTTGTGCCTTTTACCCCTTGTTTGGAGGAAAAGGCTCACTTTGCCGACTCATACATTTAAAAGATTTTTAAACAAAACAAACCTCTTTATGATTTATTCTCACACAAAATATGTTGCCCCATCAACTGGAAATAAAAACATATAGCCTAGGTTATAGGCCTATACATTTCTGCAATCATACATCATGGGACTAGTCAAAAGCACAAACGTCAGGTCTTGTTTTCAGTATTATTACCCATTGCATTCTGTAACATTTATTCTTTGTAACTCTTTTTTCTGTTTCATTATTATACATCATTTATAATTTTTCTTTCTTAGGATAGGCTACATGATGCTTAACTGTCACCCTGGGAAGCAGAAAAAATCGTGCAAATAGGCTTGTTGGAGATGCATCGGCGCTGCGCAGAACGATCAGTGTATGACATCAAAGCACTGCGAGAACAATTTAAAAATATAAAAGGCTTGTTTGAGATGCGCCTCGCCTCGCCTGAAATGTAGGCGAGAGTAGGCGGCTGCAAAGAGATCTCTCTTTCAGTAGCTGAAATTTTAATGTGAGATTCTGGAAACGAGATCTAAATTTAGCGGGAACTGTCGGGTCGGGAAGAAAATTATTCTAAGCGGACAGCGGGTGAACAAAGAGTGAATATATAGCGGGAGCGGATGGGTGCGGAATAGAACATTGCACAGTCCTGCGCAGACCTCTACTTTAAGCTGTGTCGTCAGTCAGTCGTTTCCCATCATGCTTTTGATCAGCGCAGTCGGTGGAGAGCAACTGCGCGTGACTGCGCAATCCAACACAGCCGCCTCTCCGGTTGCCAGAGTTTTTTGGCACATGTCAGCATGACATCAGAGCAAGTCAGACGTAACTCGGACACTTCTAACCGGCATGCATCTCGCTGTGATCGGTTGTGCGCAGATTTTGCTCATCTCAAACAAGCCTAAAGAGTCGTCTGCTCTATTATGGCTCTCGCGGTACTTTGATGTCATACACCGATCGTTCTGCGCAGCGCCGATGCGTCTCGAACAAGCCTAGCGTTACGGTGCTCCTTCTGTCTCACGTATTGTGTTGTTCCTATTGGTCACTGAACATGTTCCGTCATAAACCTACGACATCATTTCCGTTTCCGTATATTGAACTAGATGAAACTTGTAAGGATTTTATCCGCTTTTTGCGTTATTCCAGTGGTTTCAATGCACTTTTAAAATGCGTGGATAACAAACATGATGACGGGATCTCCCCCTTGAAAACAAAATGTAGAACATATTCGTGAAAGCCTACCAAGTGTTGACAGCAAGGAGGTGTTTACGATGGCTGTGCTGTAACATCAGTGTGACTCAGGTTTGGTGCATTGTCTGGCGATGCGATGATATGCTGCTCGGATGGGGTTAGAAATGGAAAATCTTTGTGGGACGTCAAAACCTCGACACCTTGACTAATGACGATCGCAGGAAATCACTGATTATTTTCATCTGCCCTGGCTTGTGCATGACGACGTTCCTGTAAAATAAGAATTGTGGGTATGGAGGAGAGTACTGAGGAGCTGAGGGAGGAGTGGACCTTGCTCCTCTGGACCACGGTTGCTGTTCTGGTCCCAGTGCTCATTACGCTGTGGTGCAGCTTCCAGCGTCTTAAACGCAAAGTTCAGCTGAAAGATCTGTTCCGAAAGAGCAAACACGGCTGGCACTACACAGATCTGTTCAACAAGCCCACCTACTGCTGCGTGTGTTCTCAGCCCATCCTGCAGGGGGCGTTCTGTGACTGCTGCGGCATATGTGTGGATGAGCAGTGCATACAGAGGGCAGATCGCATCCTCTCGTGTAAGGAGATCATGACACAGAGACAGACAGATGGGAGGTTTTACCATCAGTGGGTCAGGGGAAATGTGCCCCTCGCCAGCTACTGTGCCGAGTGCAAACAGCAATGCGGGACTCAACCTAAACTTTGCGACTATAGGTATTAAATAACCCTGAGCTTTCTTTCTTTCTTTCTTTCTTAGATAGATAGATATGAAAAACACAAATTATCCTCCTGATGTAAAATAGGCTAGGCTACATCAGGATCTAAACCAGTTGTCATTCTAAACCATTTGGTCAGATATATTAAACTTGTACAACAATTTTGGACAAAATTTAATAACCACGTTTGAAGAGAATATAAAAGGGAAATGAATAAAATAAAAATGTATATTCATATTTTAATCAATGTAGAAAAAAAACAACAACTGCACTTTCACCTGGTCAACTTTCAAGGTTTCAAATATTTTAAAGTTTAATGAATGGCTTTGTGAAAATCAATCAATTTAAGTATTGAGGAGAGAACAAGGCAAACAAAACAAACAAAGCTTTCTAATTTGAACTTGTTAAGTTGTGAAAGAAAATACAAATAAACAATCAAAAGGCTACCTGGACCATCTCTAACTATAAACAACAACAAACACTATTTTGAAAAAACCTTGCCTACCTTCCAAGAACTTTCATAGTTTTAACAATATTTACAAAAGTCAAATTCAAGTCATGTCAATATTTACAGTACAAGAAAATGTTAAAGAACAAACAAGTGTTTTTACATCTTAACTTACAGCAAAAAGGATGGCTAAACGGCAACAACCTAGACACAGATCAATAGCAGCCGAGAGCACACTGAACAGAACTTAAAAGCGTCTGTTGAAATCCATTTATGTTAAGGCTGCGGTGCTTTAAAATGCATCACTGGCTGTTGAACAAACAGAGCAAACCAGAATCCTGTCGTTTTCTCATGTGTTTAATCTTTCTAAAGCATGGTTTGATTAAAGAGTCAGTAATCCCTGTAATCCAGCTGTTATGTGTGATCCAGGACCAGGTCCTTCCACCTAAATCCTCAGTGTCAAAGGTAGCGCTAAACTGGTTCCAGATCAGCTTCTTCTGAGGCTCATAGCAAAATAAGTATTGATTTAAAATCTTTTTAAAAGAATTTGTACCATTTTTTTTATTTTACGATTCATTAAGAAGATATTATCTGCAAGATAATAATTCTTATTATGAGTTTTACTAGAGGGGTTGCAGTCAGTACAGTATCCATTTCAGTGTTTTACAACAAGCTATCAGTTCTAAGTGCTCTCACTCACATTTGCTGTTTTTATTTGGGAATATATAGGTGTGTGTGGTGTCAGACCACAGTGCATGATGACTGCCTTTCTAGTCTGAATGATGATCTGTGTGATCTTGGAGAGTTCCGCTCTGTTATATATATATATATATATATATATATATATATATATATATAGGGCACAGAGGCTGGTTTGTCATGAATTGACTGATTTTTTTAACATATAAATGCTTATCGGTCCAAAAACAGCTTTTGTTGAAACCAACGCTTAAAGTGTTTAAACCAGGGATTAAAATGGCTATTTATTTCTACTAATTTATTTATATTAAGTTATAAATTTTTTTAAATAATCTCTAGAGCTAGTTTAAATGTAGTGTAGTCATGTATATATATCCAATGTGTACTTGTACAACAGCTAGCCATTCATTCAAAATCTGCTATTTTGCCTGTAATATAATTAAATGTGTAATCAAAATATGAGATGAATGAAAATATGAGACCATTATGAGATTTTTGGCTAATTCTGAGGGTAGGAAGCATTAAGTGTGTCCCATTTAACATACTTTTGTGCTGTTCTACATCATTGTATAGTGTAAGTTGATCATTGTACGTGTTTTTACATATATGATATACAGTAGTGGTTACCATGTGAGAAGAAGTGACAATTTAAAGGAGAAAGAATTTTATGTAGTCTTCCTTTTTCAAATGTATTTTAGGCGTTTACAAATGTAATTGATATTGTTGATACAAACACTTTATATTCAAAGCAGAAATTTTATAGGTATTAACCAAAAAGCTGTGTAATAAATGACTGAATGAGAACAGAATCAAGTTCACACAGGATTTTTTTTTGTTTTTGCTGCACTGCTTTTTAATTGCTTTTATATGTAAAAGTGTTTTGGACTGACATCTTTGACTGTTGTAATGAGTTTCGTGACTTTTTCAGCATCTTGTGTATGAAAAAGTGCAACTTGCGTCTTGAGACACTGCATTATTTCCATTCTTTAACGCAGCATTTGTGTTTTTAAATGAAAAAGTGATAAAGGCTTTAAAATGAAAGGTATTTATACAATATGCATGAACATTTGAAAAAACACAGCTGTGAATAAATTACAAACAAAAAGAGTTTTGAAAAGTTGCAGTATGTGGAAATTGAACCAAATCGTCCCTCAGGTCCTTCTCATCACTGAATCAATGCTTGCACAGTCCACTAAATGAATATAATGAAAATAACCTGATCGACTGTTTAATAGTTAATTGTTTTTTTTGTTGCATGCAGCTTGCTGCAGGGTGTGGGAGTGGCTGGACTCCGGTTCTGGTCTTGGCAAACACAAGAAGTGGCAACAACATGGGGGAAGTTTTGCTGGGAGAATTTCGTACCCTCCTGAACCCCATGCAGGTGCCATTTAACTCTGTGCTTACATATTCAGCCAGTCTCTCTCTGTTTCCATACACTCTTGTCTCTTTTTATTTTGTTTGAATGATCACATTCTTCTTACTATCTAATGGTTTAACAAAATAGTTTAGTTATTTAGTTTTGTTTTTTTTTCCCCTTCCAGGTGTTTGATCTCTCCGAGCTGCCCCCCTCTAAAGCCCTGCAGCTGTGTACTCTTCTGCCCCCAGGCAGCGTGCATGTTCTGGTGTGTGGGGGAGATGGCACAGTAGGCTGGGTTCTGGATGCCATTGATACCATGAAGCTGAAGGTGAGAGCTGTAGCCGAATAGTTGAGTGGACTTGAAAACATCAAGTCCACTCATAATGACATCATTATGTGATGCTTATATTCACATTTGTGGCATTATTTCATTAAAAAAAGTAATTTGTTGTTTCTTGGGTTATTAAAATATTGTTTGTGTTTGTCGCTCTCTCATTCTGTATAGGGTCAGGATCAGTTTATCCCTCTTGTGACGATCCTGCCGTTGGGAACAGGAAATGATTTAGCAAACTCTTTAGGATGGGGAGCAGGATATGCTGGAGAGATTCCAGTAGAACAGGTGCTCAGGAATGTTCTAGAGGCTGAGGTAGTCAAAATGGACAGGTAAGACCCTGGCTGTGCTGTAAAGTCTTGTATTATGAGGAATGGCTTTTGTCATTCAATTTATTTTGTATTTCTGCTGTTAATGTGTTAGGTGGAAAGTTCAAGTTGTCTCCAAAGGAAACTATTTTCGTAAGCCAAAGGTCAGTACATACAATATACTGTATGATCGACCAGCAGGAGGATGTACCCCAGAATGCAAATGAAATTATTTGTATGCTAAGCAAATTTTAACATAACCAATTTATTAGCATAAAATCCCATGAAATACAGTATTAGTTAAATCAATCATGACACGTTCAATTCATGAAGAAAAGAGATTAAGATTTTAGCTTAAGGTTGTTTTCTCTCCAGGTGTTGTCCATGAATAATTATTTCTCAGTGGGTCCTGATGCTCTCATGGCATTGAACTTCCATGCACACAGAGAGAAAACGCCCTCCTTTTTCTCCAGCCGAATCATCAATAAGGTCTGAGGCATTGCCTGTCCATCATTTCATTTTTAATTTCAGAGGAAAATTAAATCGAAAGAGCATCTAAGATTGATAATGTGATAAACTGCATATTTCGATGTAAAAACGTTTATATCTGTAAAGCCATCTAATTTCCTTTATTTAACTTAAGTTTGCTTACAGTTTAATTGTTTCAAAATATTTTCTTCATTGTAAAGACTGTATAACTGAGAAAATGTCATTATTCTGCAGTTGATTTATACATCCACAACTATAAAAAAGGACCCTTTTTTATTAAGTGTCTGTAACTACAATGTACTAAATCTGTAATTAATTTCTTTAGATACATCTATGCACTGTTAACCCTACCCCTACCCCTTAATCCACCCTTAAACCTAACCATACCACTAAGCCTGTCCATAATCTTAATTATGTCTCACCTCAGTAGCAGCAAAATTGTTTTGCAAGAAAAGTTGCATAGTATCTAAAAAAAAAAAAAAAAAAAACAACATTAAAAATCTTAGTTCAAAAACTTCTGACTGGTAGTGTAGGCTGATTATTCAAAACTATCTATCTACTAGCCTACACATATTCATGCATTGCTAGGTTTGTTAAAAATAGAAGTATTTTGTAAATTCATGGCTGATAATACTGACAATTGTCTTTTCTCACAGGCAGTGTACTTCCTCTATGGTACCAAAGATTGTTTAGTGCAAGAATGTAAAGATCTGGATAAGAGGATTGAGGTAAACATTTTAATTTACTTATTGAGACAAGTGTTCTTAAGCAAAAGTGTTCTCTGATTGTTTCCCTTTGTTGTTGTCATCATATGATTAGCATGTTGTCTGGAAGTTTTAGCCTTGACATGAACTTCCTGTTTCATTACTGTGGTGTCTCAGTAATGATATAATGATGATTAATGCTGTTTCAGAACTCCATTAAAAAGAGATAATAGAAATGCATAATTACTTTGGCTCTTTTCAAATACTAAAGGCTGGAATTTGATATCCTCTGACTGGATGGAATCATAGTCTGAAGCTAAAAAAGCGGAGTCTGTGATTATCATACACTACATGATTTTTTATGAAATCTGTCAACTCAAATCTGCAGACTTGCTCTGACTTTCGGCAACTTGTTTGGACTCTAAATCAGGAGAAAATTGTGGCAAGAATTGTATAGTGTATTCCAGCCTTAAGAATCTATTGCTGCATACTTTCAGGACATAGTATAAGTAGGCGAATTGGCACACAACAAACGGCTTCAAGAAACAGCTCTATATGGTTCCTTTTAGTTACTGACTCCTGGTGCTTATGTGAGAACAGGTTTTATTTTTGAAATGCACTGTAATTTCTGCACCGCTAGCAGCACCAGACAGAATTACAAACATGATTACTTTTCCAAATATTGCCTTATCTACCATTGTTCATACAAACAGTATGATAGTATGACCCAATCCAAATGCCATGAGTTAGAGGCTGCTCAGTAGACCCAGCAATTACACCTGCTGCAGTGTTTACTGAATCTTCTAATCCACATTTTTTGTGCATAAACCTGAATTAGGAGGTATCTCGGTAGCACTTTATTTTACAGTCCTGTTCCATGTGTACACAAAATGTACTTCTTATATCAATTATAATAACTAGGTAATAACTAAATACTTACCCTGAACCTACCCCTAAACCTAACCTTAACCCATGTAGTTACCTTATACTACCCAGTATGTTCTTGGGTAAGTACACTGTAAGTGCACGTACTGTAAAATAAAGTGTAACTGGTATCTCCACACATATGGAAGGTGCTGCATGATTAGTTCTTATGCCCGTTAATGCTTAATTGTGCTTCTTTAGCTGGAGCTGGATGGAGAGCAAGTGAATTTGCCCAGTCTGGAGGGGATAATAGTGTGCAATATCGGCTACTGGGGCGGTGGCTGTAGACTGTGGGAGGGAATGGGAGATGAACCCTATCCTCCAACACGGTGAGAATCCAGATGCCACTCTGTTATACACTTTATATAATCTACTATACTACACTATACTATACTATACTATACAGAGAATAGGTTGAAATTAAATTAAACTTTATACCTGTGGATCTGGATCAGAGTAGGATGACCTTTGAAAATTAATATTTTCTTTATGTCCTTTTTCTTTCTTCAGTGTGGATGATGGTTTATTAGAGGTGGTGGGGGTGTATGGTTCATTCCACTGTGCACAGATCCAGGTGAAACTGGCCAATCCTGTGAGGCTGGGACAGGCACATACAATACGGGTAAAACATAAACATGTTCTTTACTCATACAGCTTAAATGGTGCTTAAGTGTGAGTCACGGTTCAGCTCCATGGTGCTCAAAACACTACAACGTCTCCACTTTAGGGTGTGTCTATAGCAAGTTTGTTTAATATTTTTTTTCAGTACACAGTCCATATAATCATATATATGTCAATTTAATAAACCTGTTAACCAAGCCAGTCTATTTACGGTACAATGAAAGCGTCATTATATTTGCATTATATTATGCAATATTTATCATAATAACTACAAGGCATACAATATGTAAACAATATGATTTATGCACTAAATCCAGCAGAAACTTCAGCACAATCTGCATATTTTTAAATATTCAAGACAGATGCTGCTCATTTGCATAAAGTTGAGTCTTTCTCAAGTTTTGTTTTCTCTTAGATGCTCAGTGTTTTTCACAGCTCCGATAGGAATGAATTGAAAACGCCAGACAAATTAAATACAGGTGCCCTCACAATCTTTAATCAAATACTTTAACATCCCCGCCTCCTTGCAATGACGTCTCTTCCCTTATCATGTGTCTACAGTGTCAGGTCTGGGCAATAAGGTTGTCCAATAGCCAGACAAGTCTCAATGCTGTCCTTCCAGCAACTTGTCACTCACATGAAATGACTGCAGTAATTAGCAAGCAACAGGAATCCAACGAACCAATCAATTTCTGAAAGACCAATTCAAATCTCTCCCTACATTTTACTCGTTCAAGAAGCAATTTCACTTGGACCACAATAGGGAAAAGATGGTTTCAATTTTTGTTTCATTCTAACTGCCTGTGCAGACCTCTATGCTGAATAATAACAATCCACAAATCGGTGCTAACGATATTAGATGAGAACAAATATTGAACTGAATTGAGCTGAACGATGACACGATTGTCTTCTGTAGAGCTGCAATATAGCTGAATTTTGCAATATGTTCTGAACTGGATTGAATCAACATTGAACTGACTTGAGCTGAATAATGACACTGTTGCCTTCTGTAAAGCTACTTTTGATTTGATCTCAATTCGTCATTTGATGAATTTTACGACATAAACATTGTTATTGAACTGAACTGAACCAACACTAAACTGAATTGAGCTGAATAATGACACTATTGTCTTTAGAGCTTCTTTAAAGCACAATAAAACATTTTTTCTCATGTTTGAAGAAGTTTGCATCATTGATTCTTTTATTTTCCTGTTTAATACTGTCAAGCTGCTTTGAAATAATATGTGTTGTATAAAGCACTATATAAATAAAGATGATTCTTTATTTATTCTTTATCCTTTGCTTTTTTTGTGGTAGCTGGTGTTGTTGAAGAGTTCTAGGATGCCAATGCAGGTGGATGGAGAGCCATGGGCGCAGGGTCCATGCACCATCACCATTACCCATAAGACTCAGGCCCTCATGCTGTACCACAGTGCAGAACAGACAGATGATGATGACTCCAGCGCCTCAGAGGGTGAAGAACGCTCAGCCGATCACATTGACACAACTAGCAACACACAGGAAACAGTGACAGAGTCTTAGTAAGGCTGTAATCACTCTGTCTGTGCTATTTCCACCCCAGAAAGTAGCACAGCATGAAAGGAAGACACCCTGATGTGATAAATGTCTGATGTCATAAACGTAAATGTACATAATGTGAATGTGCTGCTCTAGTAATAACATCTGCAGTGGTTATTTCTGAGTTAAAAAGCCCCTTCTCTCTCAAGCACATCTTGTGGACAGTTTGTTCTCAAATTGTCCACAAGATGTCTATCTCTGACATTGGTTTTGTAGATTTGCGTGCATAATTTTATTTATTTTTCCTGCCAGGGAGTGCTACCCGGAAGCTCTAAGAAGTGGCTCAGGTTTTAGCCATTTAGTCCACAATGGAATCATATTCAGTTGTTAGCAGAGCTCAGGCAATCATAAAAAAGAGAATTCAGTCCAGTGGAGAATGTTACAAACAAAGCTGCTTAAACACCAATGTTTTGCACTGATCTTGAGTGCCATAGGTCTGTGAAAATACAACTCGTTGCAGAAATCTTGTATTTGAGTTGTATAAATTAAGCTGTGAAATAATTTTATTTAGGACATTATGTTTTGTTTCACCTTTGCACTGCTTGAATCTAGAGTAGATTGTGAATGGACTTGCCATTGATATCTTATTGTTTTGCAGCTATTCAACTTGTGTTATTGTTTTCGTTTATGAAATAGCAGTAAAATGTTTCAGAGCACTGGATTAAGATACATTCTTTATTTTGCTGTTTGCATACTCTGATCATCAGGCATTTTTATTGTGTTTTATTCATTGTTCATTTTCTCCACTTTTCCATAGAGATTTGTTATGTTTTTATGCATCCTGCTTGAGTAAAATTTACTTTGCCTAGAATATATCCACCCTAATAGGCTTTCTGAGTATTTTCTTTAGTCCCACTCTTCCAAGTCTGTCTGCTTTCGGTGCAATTGTAGCATAAGAATGGTAATGTTCTTGAAAAACTAAGCCAGGATAGAAAAGAAAAACAGCGTTAGGAGTGGTATGTGTCATACATTTCATATATTCACATCTATGGCTTTCCTATTGGTAAAGCACTCAAGCACATGACATTCTCTCCCTGAACTAGTGTCACCTCTCTTTGCAGGAGTTGCATATATTATCCATTAAAACCTTGTTTGATAAATCTGAGGTTTTGCTGATGTAATGCCTCTGAGTAGTTTATAATGTGGTTTAGTTCATTTCATAGTTAATTTCATGTTCAGAGTGATGTATACTTAAACAATCTTACAGATTGTTAAGAGAACTGTAATTTAAATGACAGCCATTTTTCATGCATAATTGTGAAGGAGATTTAGGTACATTTTTTGGAAGCTAAAAGGTTAACAAGAGTGTTACCAAAATATTCAAGATACAGTATTGTCGTAGAATTTTTTCTTCTTAAATCAAGAACACGCAACACAGCTAGACTTTTAAAGTCTTTTAAATTTTTATTCTTGCAAGAAGGTCAGGCAATACAGCAGTGAGCACCGCCATATGTGTGACAAAAATAAGTGAGCATGCATCTCTACTTTTATACACTTTGGCCCATTGTTTTCCCAATGGTCGTCTCCTTAATACCATATATAGCTAAGAAAGCGTGATAAATACTTGATATGTCTCATTCCTCATGTAGCGTCTTCCCGAAATTCAAGATGGTATCGTTTTTCCTAAGCAAGTGAGAACAAGCAGGTCATTGTGACATCTCCTCATATTCAGACCACACAGGCCTCACACGTCAACTCTCATATAGCATTTCATAATATCAAAGCAATATTTCAGTTAATATATGAAGTAAATATGGATATAATTGATTAATTGAAATTTTCCCTTACAGTATATATCCTTTTTTCTCAGCAGTCTGAATATTTCCGTTAAATTATCTTCATCAGTTGTATAACAAAATGCAGACTGCTGTATTAGTCTTACTCAGCTTAGAAATATCTGACAACTTGAGAATGCTTCTACACCTTGAGAAAGGATAAAATCAAAATGGTGTTGTTTGTTTTTTGATTAGTGTCATGAAAAATGACTTTTCCCTGTTATGTTTATGTGTATAAATACTGAAGCAGTGGTTGTGATGAAAACATTTTCTTTACAACCGTAATTCCCCCACCCCCCTCCCCCCTGAAGACACCTGTCATATTCCTAAAACTAGACTTCACACATGCTCTAAATGTGTCAAAGGGGATTTAAACAAGAATATTATTCTCCTTGGGACTACTAGTTTATCATTTTAATATTTTGGGAGTGTTACGTTAAATGGGAATCTCTGTATTGAATATTGAAATATTTTGCACTGACTTCTGTATGCTAGAAACAACGTGGTTAACACCCATGGCTTATGTCTTGTTTTTCAAACGCAAATGAAGCCTAGTTTTTATCTGACAGTAGCTGCTCCTGGCATTGTTTAATGTTTAACTAGGCTTGTTTGAATGTTCCCAGGTAACATACCAACATATATTACAAGTTGGAGATGATATAAACAATAGAACATAAAGAAATCTTTGGTCAAAGATTTGGTGTTTTTTTTATTATTTTTGAATTTTTTATTGTTCAGCACCGAAAACAATGTGAGCTGCACAAATTAACAATCAACATTACAGGAGCAGGATTAAGTCATCCCAGAACAATTTCACAAATGTGATCAATACAACAGAAGATGAGAGAGAAAGAATAATAAATTAGATATTATTTATTCTTATATGAGACATGGCCATTTCATGCCTTTATTGGTATTATTCTGATATTTTACTTTATGTATATTTCCCCCCACTCTGAATAAAAATGTAATATATTTTCATGTAGATTTTTAAAATAATATTCAGTTACTCTATATGATGTATCAACCAAAATTGTAATATTGCATAAAGCAAACAATAAATGCCTTACTACTAAACTTTCTGAGCTATATTTTTAGATTGGTACAATATTTCCTTACTGCAAAGTGAAACCTGTATTATTTTGTTTTAGATTTGTTTCTGATAACACAACATACATCTTTCATATATATATATATATTTGTTATAACGGTTTGATTTACATATATACATGGCTACTGGTGTTAAACTTGTTGGTTTGACAGAATTACACATGCTTATAAACTGACTGGACCCAGCCAGGATACTTTGATCAGGAACCAAAACAACTCTATCTGGAGCACACTGCCAATGGACTTTACCCATCTGATAAAACCAACAAATGTCAATTGTGATAATGTGAGGATATTAAACACTTCAAACTCACAACTAAAATCTCCAAAAATAACAGAAACAAAGAGAACAAAGTAAGATTAAATAATGTGTCACATTTGCAAATCTCATTATGTACAATTAATTTTCCCCTTTCTGGAACAATGACCATTTATTACACCGCTCTCTGTAATACTTGATTTTAGTCAATCGTACCAATCAAGTCAAATATTTCTGTATAATGACCACTAAACTTTTTAACTGACTGTTGTCTTGCTCTTTTTTTCAAATAAAATATTTTCAACATAGCTGTGCTAGTGTCTCTTGTATCACTCTGAAGTCTTGTTCTTCTCACTTAAATCATTTCAGCCTAAATCAATATTTAATTTTCTTTTATGTGGTAAGTAGCCATATAATAGAATAAGTCATTATTGCAAATGCAATACAAACCTCCTCACTTTTGAGTTTTTTTTTAATGACAGTTGGACTGCATTAGCCTTTAGATATCATCCATCCATCAATCTAATTAATTAATTACATTTTTTATTTTTTTTTGGTCAACATTAAAAGATATTACTGGACATTTATAGATTAAAAAGACTGCTTTATGCATTCTGTACAATCACAACACACCTAAATTAGAATTAAAAAGATTATTTGCATCAAACCTGACTAGTTTAAACCCCATAAATGAATGTTTATGTCTGTCTCCTGTCTTTCCAAACCCAAAATACATTACAGGAGCATCTTCGAAACAAAAATGAAGATATTTTTAATATACCATAATTATTTTTGCCCATCCATTGAAAATCCTTCAAAGATTTCATAAAGATTTCATAAAACATGAAGCTTGAACATTCAGGTTGTGTGGACTTTTACTCTATGGACAAAAAGATGAGAGAATATTAAAAATATATTAATTTGTGCTCCAAAGATAAACAAAACATCAATACATTAAAATGAATATCAGTTCAACTTATATATTTTCAGTTGCTGAGCTTGCAGAAAGAGAGAGAAGAACCATTTGAGAAAATCCAGAAAGCTGGATACACAGCCTCAGTGAAAGGAAAGACAAATGTGTGGAAGGGGTAGACCCGGTCCTGCACATTATAGAATGTTGCACTTCCCTGATCACAGTCCAGCAAGACACCCACGCGGCTTGGGTTGGGATTCTGCAGCACCGTCTCGATGCTGTTGTGCCATGCAGAAAGCTTCACGTTAAACCACTCCACACACCAGGAGTCTGCATTACGCCCCAGACGGCTAGAGGGACCCTTGCGGTCGATTCTTCCATATGCAAGTCCCAATCCGCAGAAGTTGTTACTGCTCATTTTGATCTCCCAATAATGACGGCCCTGAGAGAAACCCTTTGTGCAGAGCACCTGGGAACAGACAGAAAAGCGACGGGGAATATCTGGATAGTAAGCAGTTTCGTCCGAGACTGTCGCTTTGGTGTTGTTTTCAGACAGCGAGATCCGCTTGTGAGCTGTTCTGACATCAAAATTGAGGATGGTGCCATCTAGACAGGAGAAACACAAGCATATAGATGTAAAAGGTGATGAACATGAACAAGTGGATAAACTGTGATGAATATCTAAACTATGTTAAACTCACATTTAAGAAGGTCACTTCTTTTAATAAAGTTTTGCACAGCTGGTGAACTAGCAGGTGGATCTGTAATGAGAGAAAGTAATACAAATAAATAAAAAGCTTTCAGAAACCAGTACAATATTGCCTCCAAAGGGAATGAAAGGTTTGCTCATTTCATTAATACGTCAATATTCCTAATAGCACTGTTATCCAACTATGGTTCTTCTGTCATTACCCACAAAATTCAACAATTTGCTGTTTCATGAAACCATAGTTTCAACAAACATTTGCAAACAGGGTCGCAAACTTGTGTGGTGGAACTATAGCTCTCAACCTGTAGTTAGAAGCATAGTTTCTTCTTAGATCATGCACAAAGGTACAATAAAAAAAGCTATCATGTAGTACATTCTATTTTTTCATTCTATTTATATTTACACAGACACACACACACACACACACACACATTACACGCATAGGTAAGCATTGATTACCTAAATATTTTCTTTCGGTTGTTTGATACATTTATTTAATGAATTTAGTTTTTTTGCATTATATTTAGTAATAAGACAGACTCGTTTTTTTTTTTTA